AAACCTCTGAACTGTACTGTCTCCTGAGCTAAAATGCCTAAATGTCTTAATCCTGCCAGGGGTTTATATACCGCAGGATTGGGGTACATTATAGAAGGGGAGTAGGTCAGGCGCGTGTGCAGGTATCATTTAATGATCGACACGCGTCAACAGGTATTGCGCAGTTCCTGAGGTTGCTATGCGCAGGGGTTTCTATGCGCGCGTTGTCAGGGGGTCCGCGCGTCATCAAGGGTCAGCACACGTGTCTGTCAGATTTGTCTGTCAGTCCACGTGTTCTTGGGAAGGACAGGGAAGGGATGGAAGAATATTAATATCTATTGTATATTAATATATTATTTCTTCCCGGTGCTAGGAATAACACCGAATAGCAATATTTGCTTGATGGCGAATATTCTCGCAATATATATCGGGGAATTGTTATACAATTTCCACCGATAACAACCCTCTAAAATTATTGGAACTGACATAAACTCCTGGCAACTAATTTTGTCTTTGAAACCCCACCAACATGATGCAAGTTTCTGTTTGAGGCCAACACTCACAAAATTAAAACAAAGCTGATATAAATTACACCTAGGGAAAATAAATTAAATATAATTCTTGTGTCCCATGGCTACTTTGGTTTTTTTTAGTAGAATAAGAATTTTATTTTACAGTTGTCATAAAAAAAATTATTCAGAAGCCAATAAGCATTTGTTTTCATTGCCTTAAGAAAGTGCTACACTTGAACCTCTTCAAATAAACTTGAAAGGGACCATTACAGATTCCATTTAGTGAGGATTCAACATAGGGAATCTACTACTGTTGGCTTGAAAAAGAAAGAGGGTTGGAGGAAGTTGTAATCAGTGATAATTCAGAGTGCAAAACTAAATTATGAATTATGCAGTTGATAGGATGATGCTCAACTTGAAGGCAACAGGGTTCAATTGCCCAAACATTGCTTATTTCAATGGTCAAATTGCAAAAAACTTTGTGTAGTTTAAAAATATCAGTATCAAAATGCAAAATAATGGCCAACACAGGTTGAATTGCTGGGAAAGGGTTGAATTGCAAGTCAACCGTGCAAATTTGACTGCTGAATTGCAGGATAGTCAAATTGCAGGAGGTCAAATTGCATGGTACCTCTGGCTGTACTAACCTTATTTAGGGAGGCTTTCAATGTATTGTTTCCAAGGGAATTCTGACATGGACTTTAAAAAATTTAACGTCTGCAGTGGGAGGAACAACCAGTAGGATCCTACAGGGGTCTGGGGGGGAATAATAAGGACGTTGTGTAACTTGTGTCTGTGACCTGTTTGTTTACTGTTTGTTTGTTACATGAAAAAGAACGCATCCAGTACATTAAGTTGTCAGGATGGCCGAGTGGTCTAAGGCGCTGTGTTCAGGTCACAGTCTGGTTCTGCAGGTGTGGGTTCAAATCCCACTTCTGTAATTGTTCTTTAATTTTTTTTCTTCATTTTTTTGTCTGCAGTGCGGATGCTCTACTACTTGATCATTTAGTGAGGTTTGAGTTTTTGAGGTTCACCGGTATCAATATTATAGAGATGTCTCTCAATACATAACAAATAGTTATATGACACAAAAGCAGCTTGTGACTTGAAAAAAATAGCATTATCATAGCTTTATATATGGCACTTGACTTGTGGGGGTTAAGGTTCAACTGCACAAGAAATTTATCTCTTTCATTGTCATTGCCTCTGATCAAGTGTTTCCAGTGGCTCAAAGGTGTTCAATGTACAGTACTGTATACCTCAATGATGTACTCATTTCCATCCTTGGAAACAACTGCTTCAATGGCACAAATGTCAAGTCCCCCAAACAGTTGGGACACTGCATCAACCCACATCCTCCAGCGGTCCTGAACCTCTTGCTGCTCCAGCAAGGAACTTCCCAAGTTGGTCTTCCAATTTCCAGACATGGATTTCCTCCTAAATTCCACAAGATTAAATCCAAATATCAGGGAAAAAAATCTTGAGATTGTCCTTTCTATAAACAGAAAAAACCAGTTGATTCAAAAAGTGTTCCACATACTTCACTTGAGCATACAGTAGTTTCTAATGGTTGGGGTTGACTGTTGAGAAAGTTAAATGTGCTCAGTGACATTTCAGTCATGTTTCTATACTACTGTCTATTTTATGGACCAATATTGGGAGAATTATTTCACTGATTTTATCACTTGGGAAATGTTTTGTGAGGAATCACACCAAGTTATGCTGTTCAGGAGACCCAGGAAAAAAAAATTTGAAAATTTCTGGAAATAATGGCTTCAACAGCAGGCAACAGATTTTTAATGTAATGCATTTTTGCCTGCATGCAAATTATTTCCACAAAATTGTTTCAATGGATTTATTTATGAAGTATTGAGTCACAAAACAAGAACTTATTGATTTAAGCATTGAGTATTTCTTCCTTTGGTGGCTATTTACACCCAACAATGTTCAAATGATGAACAAAGACAAATATAAATCACAGCACTTGAAAAAAATAGGGAAATGTTCTCTCAAAAAGCACCTACATGAAGGCCTTGTAGTTGGTGCCAATCTTTTGGATGTGGATGTCATAGCGTGACTCAATGTAAGGCTCAATTGTGCAGTAAGTGTTGGCCACTGCTACAACACTTGTCAGATCCTGGAAATCTGACATGTTTTCCACCTTCACCTTCCCCAGGCCTCCATGAGCATGTCCTATCTTCAGTACTATTGGGAACTTGGGTGTTGTGATCTGCAAGAATGTAAAGAAAAATCACACATATATTATATTCAAATAAAGTTTTGAAATGCACTCCCTTATCTTATAACTCTCATAGGTTTTCATCAGGAAGCTTACATAAACATAAGATTAAATTTTAAATAACAATGGAGCCTCAAGATGCATATGCACTGCCCTTTTTTTCATCACATTTGCACATAGACTTGAATAGGAGCACATTTAATCATTAAATTACTTCACATGTTTGGGAATAGTCCTGCAAGAAATTCAATGAAAATGTATCTTTACTGATGAACACAGAAAATGACTTTGGCACAAAAAACCAACCATCAGAGAAGCTGGCTTTTTGGCAGACAAAAGAGTTGAAAATTCAAATATAAAAGCAATTATATTCCTTTACTTTAAAGTTATGCACAGTTTAGGGGACAATTCATGAATAAAGAAGCACACAATTGCCTAATTTTGACAATGAATTGGAGTAAATTTATAATACTGGACAGTGCTCTTTTTTACAGTGTCTCCATTGCATTGGCTCAATTATTTGTTTGAGAGATACCAAAATAATTTAGAAAGAAAAGCAAATCTTTAGTGATCTTTATGTAGAGACAAACAATCCAAGTTCACACCATTTCCCTGCAGTTAGGAAAGTAGGTTTGCTGGATGAGAGGAAAGTTCTCCTTCCCAATCCTCCTCTGAATGTCCTGCAAGTGTGCAAATCAAGTAAGACGCGCACCCCAATTTTTAGTGAATCTAAAACCATAAAATTAAAAAAAAATGTGACTTTAGGCGTGAATTGAACAAAGATCTGATGAATTTTCAATTTTTTCAATGCTGAAATGTTTTCTTGTTATATTTGTTCCAAATTTCTCCATTATAATTGAGTATAATGCAAACATAACTTCCTAAAACTTCTTGAAAATTTTTTACTGGCTTATGACATGCACCCTCTTTTTTCTTCTGAAATTTGGGAAAAAAGGTGCACGTGTAACTTGAGTAAATATGGTAGTTTGTTGCACAAATTGCATCCACTCTGCAGGGGTTGACTGTACAGTCAACCCTTGAAGAAGAACTACCTTTGTCACTCAATGCCTCAAAATGGCCATGAATGTGTATTCATATACAGGTGGTATCCCTCAATTTGACAGCATTCCATTTCTTAAAAATTGAATTTCAAGTAAGACACTGTGTAAAAATAGGCAAGAACAGCACAAGAACTCAAGAAAATTGACCAAAGCAAACTGAATTGCAGGGCAGAGGTTGAATTGGGAATCAACCTCTCAGAAAATTCAACAATCAAATTGAATGGATGGTCAAATTGTGAGAGGTCAAATTGCAAGGTACTGTACCATCACACTTGTATTGTTCTGACTATACTGAATTTAGAGCACTTGTGAGTTCACTCAATCATTTATGTGATGATGATGTTGTGCTTATAATGTGTGACTCCATTCAAGATACTGACTGGAATATCCTACTAATGTTCTCTTTTTGCACCAGACCCACACAAAATTTTAAATTTGGAATGTTATAAGCAGTATGCTTTTCAGTAAATGAAATTTTTTTGGGAAGAAATTTTCCACAAAAGTTGAAGTTTCAATAAAATGCTGAATGACTGGAATTCAATGAGTCCTTCTGAAGCAAGGGTTGGTTGTGTTTTGAGATGATGCTTGCCTGACAGTTTTGGAGCCTGCCTTGAAGCCAGTGATGGACACAGTGGTGCCAAGTTCAGATGTAGAGCTCACAGAGATGTCCTTGAATTCAGTCTGTTCCACTCTGATGTCATAGTCTCCAGGAAGCCTTTTGCCTCTGAAGTACTTGGACCTTTAACATCAAAATGAAAAATGTCAGAAACAAATGCACTAACAAACAAATGATTTTTATGTGGTTGTCAAAGTTATGAACAAGAACTCATTGCAGTGAAACATTAGGGGGTTTTATTTTGACTTCAAGTACATTCCTGATTTAAAATACTGTATATCTCAAATGAGAATGCACCTCATTTTTTTTTTGTATCTCAAAGGCATGTGCTAAGTGCTGAACCAAGCAATTTCTTCCTTTCATTTTTCAAAAGATATGCTGAAAAAGCATGTCCATGCAGTATATTGCAAATGACACAAAAAAGGGACAACAAATGCTTTGAAAAGGACTGAAATATGGTTTCCACACTGTTTGAAATGCTTTACTGGCAGAAGACAGGGAATCAAATTTTGTACATTCATCAGTAACTCTTAGCTTTTTTTTTTTGGATGCAAATCCTTGAGATATAAGTTCACAGTTATGTTTCAAATTTTAACTAATTTGCCTCACCAATCAGTGTTTTGGTCATCAATCACCAGCAGGATCTTGCAGCGGTCTCTGTTGTACCCAGGAGCACCTCCTTTGGCAACTGAATCCACTTTTCCAACCACATCCCTGGTCAAATTGGTCATCTTTTGCAAAAAGCTCTGCCCACCAGTTCTGTATGAGAAGAAGAAGAAGAAGGGTTTCACTTATTTCCTTTTTTCAGAGGAACATGCACCTTTTATCATTCTAATATGACTCAGTAAGTCACTTGGACTCTGTACATTTCAAATGAGACTAAGGCAGCAGTGTAAAATAATAATGAATACTCAATAATTATGATAGGTGATGAATTTGATGTTTTGGAAGCACTTTACAGTATTTCTTGCCTATTTCTCACATGATTTCAAGCATGAGTGTGTTAGAAACTACAAATCTTGATGCAATGCATTTTTTCTGATAAGGAATTTTTATCAGGTCCCTGATGGGAGTTTGTTGTAACACAATTGTACTGTAAAAGCTTTATGTACTGCTAGTCAGCATTCAAAAGATTTGAGAAGTGTTACCAACATCCTCCCCTCCACCCTTTTTCACCCTAAATTTAATTGTGAAGTGGAGGAAATTCATACACTGAGAGCACCCCAAAGTATGAACACCAAAAAACATGGACAACTTGATTTAAAGACATTTAGAACTGAAAAAATCTACCCCCAATATCCAGACTCAAGTTACAAATACCTTTCCAAAATTCCTGGAAAACTTTAGAAACTTTCTTTCTTATACATTTTTATATTTCTTGAAGAAATTCAGCTAACAGTGAGACCACCACATGCAGATACCATGAAATGTGGACAATTTGACATACAGATCCTATAAAAATGCATATAAAAAGGACCAACATGCGGACACTAACTCAAGATGTGGACATTGAGGGCTAAAATTGCAAACAAGTTTCAGGTCAAATTACAATAAGAAACAGATATTCCTTATCATAAGATCTATGTAAGAAAAATTCTTTGGCATTTCTCTGAACCTTTTACTATTCATTTAGCTTATTTTTAAAAAATGCCTCCAGCATAGAATAAGGTACTTCTTTCTCTATTTTTCACTTGAATTTTATTTTTTTACAGAGAATGCCAACATTTCAATGCACTTTACGGAGGTACAGTTTAATCAATTCTCCAAAAGTACTTATTGAGCTGAAATGTATTGATTGAATCAGTTTCAATTGGCAGACAATTATTTTTCTTTTATTTCATGGAATTCTGATGAATGTTTCTTCCATGAAACACCAAATAAAAATTAAATCATGTAAGTCCAAGGCAAAATGATACTCAACTTAGAGAAATTGTGACTTGAAATATGACTCATGACTGTATTTACATGTTAAAATGTTAAAAAAAATTGCATAGTAAAATTATCTTATTCATCATACAAACAGGCTATTTCTGTGGGGTTTTTTTAGTCTTTGCTATCATGGTCATTAATGCTATACTTGTTCTTGTTCTTAGCCTCTTTTGATGCCAAAAGATCAGATTCTGTGTGGTTTTCTTCTGTACATTTTTTTTTCGGGGTTTTGAAGTTCAGAAAAATATTTTATTCAATAATTTGAAGAAGGACTTTTCCTCAACTATTCATTTATGCAGGGGGATAATTTATTTGAAAATATTCCCATTCAAGTCTTTGGAAATGCACCATAAGAATGTCCACATCTCGAGGTCCCATGCTGTTCATCATCATCATATGCATAAGAGGTCATTTTTGAACCGTTGTTGCACATTTGTTCACCTAGATGGCGACGTTGGGGCACTGATGGTCTTGCTATGCTGCTGCTGGCGCAAATTGAGGGACAAATCGGGCTGTGCTGACTCAGCCCGGTTGTAGCCTGGTCTGATGGCCGACGACTGCTGTGGCCCAGCTGGCACCCCGTTCGGGCCAGTTGGCGCCTGTTGCTGCTGCTGCTGCTGCTGCTGAGGGTCACCGGCGCCGGTGGCGTACCTATTGGTGATTCCATCAGGGACGCCAGGCTGCTGAGCTGCCGCCAGCGCCTCCTCGCGGGTGTCTTCTTCCCCATCCGCGGACAAGTCCCCGGATGAGAACCTGTGAAAAATAATAAAATTTACTGCATTAATACACAAGTACTGTCAGGGGTTCTGCTGAGGACCTCAACCCTTCAGGTGAAAACTGTTTTTCTTCAGGTAAAAATTTGTCTGAAGTGTTACATGTGAGAAAAGCCCATTTTTGACTTTTTTGAGGTAATTTTAACTGCAATTGTCTTGCGCAAAAATTTCAGGCAAAGACGTTGTTGTCACGGGTTGACTAGATGTTGCCCACTGACGTGCCGTTTAACTCAGGCCAACTAGATGTCACCCAAGTATAGGAGGTACAGCAGAGTACAACCTGGCATACAATCAGAAAAAAACATACTTCTTTATATAACCATCAACAGACCAGCCTTGGAGATAATGATCTTCAGGACTTATTCCACTTGTGTGAATCAGCCCTTTGATCAAATGGATCTAACTGGACTTGTGGACAGAACAATTGAACACACACCAGTGGAAAGCCTTGAATATAAACTTAATTCAATGGGGAGGACCTGGACCTGCTGAAATTCATGAGAAGAAGGAGTCACTTCCATTCTGAGCTCAGGAGAGAACAGACCTAACATTTTTGTGTGTGCTGACTATTTTTGAACATTGTTGAAAGGAGACATAAATTCACGTAAAGGTGTTCAAGACCTCAGGCAGAAAAACAGCCAATTGTGTTTACCCTTTCTTTTACAATCTAAATAAGTGAAACACAAATCTTTGCCAGAGAGGCCTCATGAGAGCCCCTGACAACTGTAATGTCCTTCATTGATCATTTTGTGAAATTTATTATGATTGACTACATTTCCTGTGCACCAGCAAAATGCTGCTGTGGACCAGCATGGTCCAATGACTGCTGGGAAACACTGATTTAGAGTATTAGAGTTTTGCATTCTACAAGAATTGGGGTGAGTCCCTCACTTACAAAATTTAGTTTATTGATACTTCATCAGAGATCAGTTTATCAGAATTGATTTCATCAAAATTCAAAATCAGTTATATTCAGGATGCACCAGTGCCCAAATTTGAATTTTGGTGCCTCTCATACATTTAAAGCATTACAGTACAGTTCATTTGATGAAAATTTGGTTGCATTTAGGGAAAGGATTGTTGGAAAAAACTTCGGCATGCCGACAATTCGGCGCCAGATTAATTTT